AACAATAGGAAGGGGAAAGTGGATTCTGAGTCGACGGAAGATAAGGAGTCAAGCATAGAGCCGAGTGCGCGGAGAGGTATTTGGGACAGGTGGCCTCTCTTGCAGCAGTCTGTCCATGTACCTGAGTGGACGTTGCAAGATGAAGTAAAGGCAATTGCTGAGAAAACTATGAAGGATTGGGCTCACAACCATCAAGATTCTGCGTCAGCGAAGGATGCTGCCGTGAAGGATACTGATGGACATGGAAAGGGGGATAAACCTCATCCACACAAGCAGCGCGAACCCCCTGTATCCCCTGGGGCCACGTCAGAAGCTACCCAAGAGGAGTACTGGGATGTAACAGCAACATCTGTAGACGAAGGCCTACTGTCCCAGTCGGCATTACACGGGCTCTCTCTAGAAGCTGCAACCTTCCTATCACACATTTTCGGACTATTGGCTGCTCATCGTCCAGCTCATGATGCTTCCCTTCAAAATCGGCTCAACGCGACAGATTGGAAGACTGCTCTAAGCATTCTAGCGAGTTCAGAAATAATCAGCAACGAGTAAGTGGGTATTCAAGTAAGTTCGATTTGAAATAACCATCTACATAGCAATATCGAGGCTGCGAAGGCAACAATGGAGCAGATCTTTGGACATACTGACCTCATTCGTAAGTTTATAGCATCCCTATTCAGATATTATATACTAAAGTGTTCCTTTTTAAGTACGCTCGAGAGTGAAATCCAGTGCTAAGAGAAAACTCTCCCAGGTCAAGAAGACATTAGATGACCGTGATGACCTCTTCTCTTGCCCTGCTAAGCTTCCCTATCGTAAGTTCAACGTGTATAGCTCCTCTCTCAACTGAGCCGTATTTATTTTAGGTAAAAGGCCACGCCGGGTATGACTTTAGAAACTCCTGGAACGAGTCGTATGTTTGGATGCCCTTCATCGTAACATATCACGTGTACATTATGATATAGACGAATAGACAGTGGTCTCATAGTACTAGCAACGCTCGCAAACTAAATAAAATCGACCCTTT